TTCCACATCAACAGAAGCCATCAAACTCCAGTGACCTAGTAAGGGAAGAGCGCTCTCAATCACAACTGCAAATACGGCAACAAGTCTTGCTTTTGCCCTCCCTCCATTGGCAAATCATTGGCCTCTCCTGTACTTAACAGTGTATGGACTGACGCTGCAGTAGAAACGACCACCTTACAAATCGCTCTGTCCAACAAAATCACATTTATTACTGTGGCACATTTCCTCGTAGCAATGAATCTCCACTCCATGGCGATCAAAGTCACATGGAAGAGGAAAGACAGAAAGTCTAAACATCAAGGGAGGGTTGCATGGTTGAGTGATTTGTATGTGAGTGCGACAAAACTCAGAATAAGAATACCGACCATAAGTGCTATGTAATTGTCTTTACTACTGGATATAAATTTACAGGAATGCTGTCAACATGTAATAAACACTACCTGTGTTATCAGTTAACCCATTCGAATGCAGCATCTGCAGACGTCTTAATTGTTTACCAAATTCCTCGCAGTCAATATGCATAATAATGAGGTCGGTTTTTTGCGAAACTGTATGTGTATGTGTTTTTTTGCTTGGTAAATAGCGCCAAAAATTTTTGGAAGGTAGATTTTTGTTAATTTTACAGACTATTGATGCGATGTGATGTGGCATTCCACACCCATATTAAGAAGTGCAGTCGACTCTACTTCCCACTTCAGTAAAAATATCACTTCCGTGACTTAAGGGGGTGGGTGTTGCACACAAGGATGATAGACGTCGTGATGTGATATCATGGCAATGTGACGCAACGTCTACTTTGCAGAGTAATCTGGTGCATATACCTAGCAATAGTAAGGCATCATCTTCCGCAGTTATGCAGTTAAGACTTTTGCTTCCAGACATCGCCCTTCTCACAACCCCTCAACCCTACCCCAGCAACTCTATAACATCCGTCGATGTCTGCCGTTTGTCACACTTCTATGTAAATCACACAGCCCGTGATCCTTCTTTCAAGGTTAAGCCTTGCTGTCTTTCCTCTTCCATGTGACTTTGATCTCCATGGCTGGTGATTTATTGCTCCGAGACAATACGCCACAGCAATAAGTGTGGTCTGTTTGACAGCGTGATGTGTGTGGTGGTTGATTTTACTGCAGCGTCTACTTAATCACTGCGAAGTACATGAGAGGGTAGTGATATGCTAATGGGAAGAGAGCGAAGGCAAGGCTTTTGCTGTTGCCGTACTTGCAATTGTGATCGTGTACGCTCTTCTCTTACTGGGGACACTGTTGAGGTTTGTGCTCGTGTACCTGCGGTAGGGTGAGCTCCGATGATGCTGAATTTACCATTACAGTGGCGGTTGGTGCTTTGTGGTCAACTTAATCATGAATAGCAGCAAAAATGCGTATCAGAGTAGGAAACTCTGTGGCTAATCGCAAACAGGGATGAAATTTTTGCTCTCATTCTTTAAGCTTCTGCTTCTTCTATTGTGTATATTAAGATGTGGGTTTTATTTCCATGGATTATAGTACACGGCGCCTATAGATGTGCATCTTTGCTTTTGTAATTTTAACATTTATTGGACTTCATGAAACACTCCCCATTCTAATTCACTGACTTTTATGCTTTTATTCAAATCTAAAAGATAAAGCATCTTTTCTTGCATTTTAACTCCAAATCTACTGTAAACTCAATTTCCATTATTTCTTATTGACTACATTGTGGATTCACTTCTCCGTTTTCTTTTTGCACTAGACCAATCCTATAGTACTTTAATTGCAAATAAGTAGCAAAGACACAATAATCATGCAAAATGAATATGAAGTATTCATATCAAGCGAGTTCACACACGACCAAAAGAACGCTATAAAATTACACCAATGATGCGGTGACTTATTCACCTCCACTATTAATTACCCAAATTTTAGTGACCAGCTTTACAGTATTTAAAAATCAAAAGTAAAGGACCGCAGCGACACCATTGACCCAACCTATCATCACTTTCTAACTCACCACTTTTCTACAAAACCACCACTTTACCACGCACACTTCTTCTTTAGACATACAGCAACCAAACGTGTCCCTGAGAAGAGTCAGATGACTGATTGTGGAGAGACTCTAGGCAAGCATTGAAGAAATATTTGTGGCGCAGACGGATAACGCAAAATGGACCATCTCCTGGTAGTTAGAAAATTGAGGCCCAATCCACACCTTTACCAAATAAGCCACTACCACTACTAATAAGTTTCTAATATGCTTTATCTTCACCTTCTTTCGGGAGCCGCTATCTGCAACTCTACTAAATAAGCCAAAATCCAAAGTGAAATGAGAACGAACTGCCATTTGGCAGAATTGGTGTTGCGTTCCGCTTCAGGGATCAGTAAATAAAGCATCAATTAAGGAATTTCAGCTGAGATACGCTAAGAGTGTTTTGTTTTCACGACATCAAACTCGTACCGCTGAATTGCCACATACAAAATGGGAAGGTAAGGAAGTTCTTTATTTTAGAGCACCGACTGCGTTATGACTGTCGACGCAGAAGGTTGACCAAGAGAAGCGTCAGGGACGACGCTCATTGAGAGTGGGTTTACGTAGTAGGTTTGCTTCCAGGAATTAAGTCACCACAGATCGTACTTCTACTCGGTGGCATGACCACCAGGTCATGTCCTGAAGTAGAACGCCGATAGTTGACTGGAACCCCGAAAAAGCAACTTTCTTTCCCAGTTTTTATAAAGTATAAATATACAATAAGGAATTCGTCCCTCCCCCCCTGTTTGTTCGATTGCGTTTCACTGTGGAGAAGTGTAGGCTGACATTACGACAAGAGAAATGTCCAACCACCGCCCCATTATTTACCTGCGTTCAGTAAAAGAGTTTATTTGAATTTATAAAACTGGTTTGCGAACCTGTAATATTTGCCAAGGCAACTATAAAAGTAGAGTTTAAAACCACAAACGATAGTTTAGAAAAGAGGAAAGAAGGCGAGAAACTGTGCACGAGGTAGAGGGGCTACAGGGTGGAAGTGACTAGAAGTGAGATCACACCCTCTTGGTGCTGGTGGAGAGAGACAAGGAGCAGTTCAGTTGGTAGAGCAGGTAAGTGGGAACACCGGTATCAAGGAAGTGCAGATTTGGACACCTTCCCGAAGACGGGGGCTTCCAGGCCGTAATGTAACAGCATTTGTCGATTCATGGTGTCGCATACAGCCTTTCTGAAATTGAAGGAAAAAGTGCTTGCGGACATACTGCGTTACAGTACTGGGGCCTTTTATGTGGGAAAAAAAGTGGTCCGTCAATTTCGCGGTGATAACCATTTAATCGGTAAAACAAAATATGAACACAAGACACAAAACTTGCAACTCCTTCTAACTGAATGAGAAAAATTAAGGGAGTGATGCCATAGCATGAAATACAACCCAAAGAGGCGACTTTTTGAAACCGAAACACAACAGTAGGAATACAAATATAGTGGATGGGACTAGCTCACGGAGTAGGGGCAACAACGAGAATCCACAGGTTTGAAAAGTGACTTTGAATAGGATGCTGAAGGCGGAGGTGGTAGTGGAGATCCTAACAACACGATCATTGTTTCCAGAAGAAGTGCATCAAAAGATCAACTGGCAAGTTATTATCTCAAGAAATTCATCTCATTAGAAAAAAGGCTTCTAACTAGCTATAAACTAACAAAAGGCAAAGATGATGTCACGGCAAGCATCAAAATTGAGTAAACAAATTTCCCGCTTGATTTTTAACAGGAAGAATACAAATTTAATAAAGAACCTCTGAAAAAAAAACTAGTTTGCAGTAAACGGAACACCTCTGACCAATTTGAAAAGCCAAGCCCTACAAATCCACCGATTTTACTACTGCTTTTGAAAAGCGTGCCGGAGGGTTGAAGTCCTAGTGCATTGTCTACTTTCACCACGCCAGTAGCAAGTAGAATCACCATTGAAGCATACGAATTAATAAACTAGGAAATGAAGTGCTATTAGAAGAGATCCGGTATCATTTCAGGATCGAGGCACTAAAGGGAAACGGAGTATCAAAGCCCACCAGTAATAAGGACCAGAGATGGTGGGGTCATCAGGATGAGTCCGGTTTCACTACTAACTGACAAATATCAAACCAGATTCAAAGAATCAAAGTGGTCGTGAAAGCCACAGAATGCGTATCCGCACAAACCTTGATGCGGTTAAACCACAAAAAAGATCAAACGTAAAGTTATGACATCGGAAGAACATCGAGCCACACCAATAGTGTACAAGTCACAGGTCAAACTCAAACAAGGGTCAAGGAAGACAGGAATTCCTCACCGAAAATCTTGATTCCAAAGATAGTTACGCACATAGGTGCTGACATGTCCAGATTGAGGGAGATAACGTATGTCGGCGGCAGGAAAGACGACATCAAAAGGCACCACGCCATCACGCGGTACGTAGGCATCCCTACCCGCCGTCACCGAGGTGATGAGTCGTGCATCCGCCACAGGAGGAAAGTTGCCCAAATGAGTGAAGAAGTCCAACAACTCGCGTAAGAATTCTCGCACTTCAGGATCCACCTAGGCAGAAGTGTGGTGAGATGAGGTAAGATGCAAGCTTGATTCGGACCACTGTTAGCAAATTGAAACGAGAAGGGAGGCAAGAAGTCTACTTTTGTCATAGCATAATTAACCACAAAATTAAGTTAAAAGATGTCATCACAATGGAAGAACATACGTCGGGGCAGAAAAGCAGGCTGACCGACTGACCTTGACTTTTTCAGGAAAGACTGAGGGAATAGGAACAGCCCGGACAGCAGACACGGCACTGTCCCAGATGTGGTTGTCAAAGTACAAATGCAGTCGATTGTGAGATTTCATGTAATCCAGGACTTTGGAAACATCCGATAGGGGTCGCCTATAAGACCAGGAAAAAGGGTATCCAAAGATAGTCAGTTATTGGAACCTTTATTTTAACACAACAAATAGGTTAGTGATCAAGAACATCCAAAATCTATCCTACTGTTTGGAGCTCAACCAACCCGTTTACCATGTACGATTAGGTGAAACTACCAGTGCTTTCGAGGCGTCACATATGTGTGACACTAGCGGCGAATAAATATAGCAAAACTCAAATTCCCTTATCAAGGATATTTTCCCATCAGCTACACGGTTTAAATTTTGTTTTACTTACAAATTTGAATTATAATGTTGTAATGGTTGATACGTGCGGAATTTTGTCGTTACTGTTCGTCAATGCCTCAAGGTGGTTGGTACACTTTTATGTTCTCGAACCTGCTGGATGATAAAAAACTGCAACTCCGAATTGCACGGGTGCAATTTAAGCAACAAATCCTCACTAGTTTTGCATTAACTGCCTATTCAAAGACCACACTCTCATTTGTAGGATGACCAAACATGGTCAAGGTGTTTCACTTTATTTGAAGAGAGCAAATAAGGAAGTAAATTGTTGAAAGCTTCTTGAAACAGCCACCAGCACAATAATGTTATCGTTTGCTGAGGAAATGTAAGCCTAGTGCTAATTCCACCTAGCCCTAGCCACCTCTACTTTCCCCTTAGTTCTATCGTGATAACACCTTGGAGCCCGGAGGAAGATGAGAGAAATACGGGGGGTGAGGATGGGGCGGTACTTCCCTCCCATCCTAAAATGCGGCCATATGAGGCCTAGTGTTGTCTCAGAGGAATGAGAAGAGGACTTAGATTCAACAGAATGAATAGCACCAAGTTGCGAATAGATCTTAGGGGTAATGGTGTAATCTTCTGCAAGCAAACAATTGAGTCTGCAGTTCACCGCAAATGCAGATCAAGCGCTAAAGTGGTGCTTGTCTTTGTAGTGTAGGGCAAGCGATGAGTTGATCGTTGGAGGGTAACCGACGACATTTTCGTTCGCTGAACAATGACAGGCAGTAGTCAATCAGTAGCGAAACAATCCAACGGTGCTGCGTTCTTGCAACCCATTCGTAAGACGGTAAAAATAAACTGGTGACCTGTCTTCCAAGCTTTTTGACTCGCAGGACTTTCTCAATTGACATAAGTGTCAACGAACTGTTTCATTACTGACGGTTTGTCTTCAAACACTAACGAGACAAGATTCTTCATCGCTGTCAATAGCAGGGCTATCTGGGCATCACGCGCCCTTGAGTGATTTATCCGTAGGCTCACTGTTTTCGGAGCAGCACTTCTTTTGCTGTACAGATAGTAATGCAACTTTAAAACCCAATTTCAAACAAGGTGAAATAGCACCAATGGAGTTAAACCGCCACTTTATATTTGTGATGATGGGTTGAAAGCAGGGAGACGACAGTAAAGAATATTGTGGCGCATTTGCCTTTAATCATAAACTGCACTTCACCAATTCCTCACGGTTAAAAAAAGTCATTAAAGTGAGCCACATCGATGTCTTTTGGACTGCCTTATTCTTTCAGAATTGTATCACATTCTATTTGATCAGGCTCAACCAAAGTACTAAATGTCAGTTTTTGTAAGAAAGAACGAACCAATCTGAATTAAAGCCAGCATTTAGTACTTTGCTCAACACAAGTATGCAAGCGAACCCTGAAAAGGATATCAACGACATGGTGGCAAATGAAATACAGGCAAATCCGGAAAGCATAAATCAGATCAGGATTACCGCTATTAACAACGTCTCCTCATACAGGGCACAAATCCAAAAGCTCAATTTCATAACACTATGTAAAGCAGGCAAGTGAGTCTGGAAAAGAGACGGAGAAGAACTTACTGGTAAAAGGTGAGGACATCAAAAATGTAATCCGGTGTCTTTTGACCTGAGGGAGGGGGAGATGGAGGAGGAGGAGGGGGAACGAGCAGATCCGTGGAGGGACTCCGAGCCTCCTTAGTTTTGGAAGTAGCAGAAAGCAACGAATTTGCTGGCCTTTGAGCTATAATACCGTTTAGTAAAAGGACAGTTACAAAAAGCGATTTAGCATACACTTGGAGAGGCAGATACTGGTTCACGAGCTGGAATATTTGCTCTTTTTCCAACCCTAAAAGAGCCAATCCATCAATTGCGTTAAAGCCTATCTAAGCTGACAGCAAGACCTCCTATAAAAAGTTCAGGCCCTAGTTTTGTAGACGTAGCAAATCTTGACAAAAAATAAGAGCTTTTAACACCTACCATTGTTAAGGTAACTAAAAAGTTAACCAAGAAAAGATTACTCTTTGTAATAAAGGCGGGTTGAATGGAGGGTTGAATTTTGGGTCGTACGACCTTGGAGTAGACCGAATCTTGAAGGTATTGTTTGGTTAGAGTTTGCCAATCCACTGAGTGACTTAGAACTCCCTACAAAGTGGAGCACGATTAAACACATCTTTCAATGAACACATACTCAAACAGTTTGTTGTCAACATCACGAATGCGTGACCCATGTTTTTCACCAGTTTATGAAAACGAGTTGCTATGATGGCAGAAGAGCCGCGATAGTGCAAAAAAGCTATCACGAACCAGCGATGTCATGAACACGAGTGATGAACCATGAGTTGCCATTTCGTGAGTGAATGATCAAAGTCCTATTAATAGACTATTAGCAATGACCCCGCAAACACATATATACACACACAAATGGCAGCATCAAATTCACACGACTTGATCACCGGTAGCGTGTGAGGCAGTTACTACACCCACAAAGGGAAATGCATGCGCAAAACGGAAATGAGGTGGTAAAAAATATGCTGGTTGGCTTGAGAATCAGGACTCTCAAATTATGACTGATTCGGGAGGGAATCACTAAACTTGCGGTAGTATAATTCGGCTCGTGACCATCTTCATTACACAACTGGTCTTTAAAGCAAAAAAAATAGTTTAGAAATCTGCATGAGTGTCGTCATGGCACAGTAACGCCAGCAAATCAAAAGGTGATATTTCTTTATTGCCAGCTCCAAAGTGCAACATCGACGTAGGAGTGCGTTGGTGCAAAGGTTAGGGTTGTCAACTTACTGGCGTATTGTGACCAACTTTTTCCGTTTGCACACAATCGGCACCACCAAACTTATGTGGATCTATCAATGGTGCAATGAATTAATACCCCCTATATTATTTGTCAGCGGCCATGACGATCCTTCATCTAGTCAGATTCCTTCAAGTTGATCATTAGTGCTAAACCAGTAATGTCCAACGCACTTACGTATAGTATGTGCCTTTTCAAGGGCTCTGGAGGCTAAAGTCGACCTAACAGTGGAGGTTCGTTAAAAAGATATACGGTAGGTAGTTTAACGAAAAGTTGGAAAACCACTAGAAAGGACAACGACGAGGTGGGTGATGATAAAACTTCAATAAATGAAACATAGTATGGGCCGCAAAATAAACATGAGCAGGCATTACGATTAGACTTTACTTCGCCAACAATACTGAGCAACTTGAAACAAACCGACAAAGCAGAAAAATGACCTGATCAACAGCTGCTGATTAAACCGGAATTAAGTGGTACCTCAGGGTGTAACAAACGGGATACCTACCATCTTAGTTAAACGGGAGTAACTAGTGGTTTCCTATGTTGAGGCGAACCATAGGATGACCGAAGACTGGTGAAGTTTCCGGCACGCTCTGACGACAATACAAAATCACATACCTCACACCGCACCTGGCAAAACTTAATCGTGTGAAAATTAGTAATTTTGGACAGAAAAAAATTTCCTTTCTGATTCATCAGAGTGATTGGCGACACCTTTTCTTGACATTAGACAATTGAATTCAAAACAGCCAGACGGGAAATAAAAGCGGGTTGGGAACAGATGTGACCAAAGCTAGATTAGAGAACTCGACGACTTGTGCCTCCTTAAGGATGTTACTATTTTAGGAAGCTGCCAACAGTTTTCTCAATTTTCTGTTTGAAAACGGCTGTAGCGAAAGGGAGGACAGTGTTTTCAAATTTCGCGCGAAATGGCAGCAATAATATTGTCTCCCTTAAAAGGGGAACACCCAAGGATGATGAGGCATACATAAATTCAAGATAGCGAACGATATTTGAGTGTATGTTGAGTGAAGAAGGCCGTTATTTATGTGACTTTTCAAAGAAGACACGATTTAACCTGATCACTGTCTATCGAAGGTAAAGCTCTAAAACTGATAGATCCGAGCGCGCGAAATGATCACATGAATGTTTGTCATGCGTTTCGATTAAAAAACTGCCTACCAGTCCGCTGAACATCCTAAAAAAGTTTCGCTAAATGAAAAACCTATAGAATTTCTTGCAAATCTTTCATGCCCATTAACACGTTTACCGCCAGGGTATCGAAAAAGGTATCATTGCCACTTGCAAAACCGTTGACTTGACAGATATCCCGCTAAAAATCTAATAAATTGCCACCAGACTTGGAACAAAGTCATTCTGTAGTAGTTTTGTTTTGGATTCCACTAAACATTATGCGATGCAACTACTTACCGCAAACCAAAAACCGACACATGTCACATATTTGTGACGTCGAACTTATGGGAGAAATCGCGGTACCACGTATGCGATGCTTACAGCAAATGGGTTATGGCGAAAAATAGGTGTGATTTAAGAATATGGGAGGAAAAAAAATGGATCTTGCTAACTGAGTCAAAGACTTTGAACGCAGCACTAAATACACTGAACTGCATTTTTTTGCATCTAAATAATACAAACGAACCTCAATGAACACAACTGAGGCGGAAGTCCAAGAAAGGCATGGAATGAGAGAGACAGGAAAAGGAACTGTTGTTGCGCATATGGTCGCCATCTACAGGAACGCCAAAAAATCTAAAATGTGGATTACAAAGTCTAGTTGAAAAGAACTTTTCAAATTCCTAGCTCACATAGCCGCCCATTGAAACGCCGTGCAACGCAAAGGGCCCGTAGCCTTGGTTTTGACACCATCGGAGAATTGTGTGACATTCTAAAATTAATGCTCCTCCCATCACGAAAAGGTCGGATAAGTAGTTCAGGCCAGACCCTCTAAATTTGCATATTTAAAAAGTCCTAATCAAATCGATTCACATACTTTTGGTCCACCGGCAACCTTGCTCCATAAAAGGGATTCATAATAATGACCGATGCAATGCCATCATCAATTAATTGGTTTGCTAAAAAGACGCGACGTCTATGATAGGACTAGGGTCCATTAATAAACAAAGTGTGGGAAATTACGTGATCACCGGTCCCAGGATAATGAAGACAAACCGGACGATGCTTCGACTTCCATGTTTTAGGGGTTATCATTTGAAACCTGAAAAATTGCACAATGAGCGTATACTACCTTGAAATACGGTTTTTTGTACACATTGCATCGGGAATAAGATCCTCCATGGGGGATACAAAGGAGCCTTCAATTTCTACTAACTTCTTATATTCAGTCCTCTAAAATTGGTGAGTACATCCAAATTTGTACCTTTTCAATCATAACAGGACGATAAGTTAAGTTATTACGCACATAGTGGGGATCTCCTCTTACAAGAATCATGTTGTCGACAAGCCTATATAATAAAATTGAACAGAAGAACAACTTCAAAAGCAAGTCTGGACGCCCCCATCCTTTGGTAAAAAAGTCACAGGCAACTGTTCTTCGGAAGACTTTATCGAATAAACTCATTACCGGACCTTTTCAAAGGACCCTTGCAAATGCTGATACGGGGCACGCAGTCGAAGAACAGCTCCCTACTGATTGGACACATCAAAGAACGTTTCAAGGCATTTGATATTTATTAATCCATAAATGAGTGGAAAAATAAAATTATGAAGTAGTGTTGTAAAACGGTACTCAGAACAGCGCTTTAGGCCCAAGAGTTTATTTGGGATCGCATTTTTAGAAAGATATTACCAATTAGCATAAAAGTTATGTTATTAAAGTCTTTATATTTTTAGTACATTCCAGGCATTGAACAAAAATACTGACTAACTAACTACTAACTCTTTTAGATTCTTAGGCTATTAATCAAACTTTTTTGCCAAACTACTCCGACCTACAAAGTGTTTTAATTTCTAAACACGCTATCTATATCACGTTTCCTAACAGACGCAAACGTAGAAGCGCGGGATACTCACCATCATCACTGTATCATTTGTCAGTGATTTACGTTTTGTTGTTGAGAAATAAACGGACCAATTTCAGTGTTTCATCTCAACTTCACACCTACTTTGGCATTCTTTTAATAATTTTTGAGAGGCAGTAAGATATAACGCATTTACCTCCATCTATTGCACTATTAGTGGTTGCATAAACAAAGCATGCCTCCACTATGTGCCGTTTATCATAAAGTACAACGATTAATAAATAGGATTTTCCGGCTCATTTTTGGGTGGGCGAAGGTGATTTCACAGACATCAAAGAAGCGCACGATGCGCATGCACTCAATAAGTGGGATAAAGTCGTCACAGAACGTTGTAGACTTTGCAGGAAATTAAGAAGTAAGCATAAACCCTCGTCGACATCATTTTTACTTCAATGATATTTTTTGCCGGTTTCCTAGATAGGATTCGTCGGCCAGCAGACCAAATGGCCATGAACCCATCTGCTGCATCCTATCGCAGAATAACGGAGAAGGAGATAATCGATCAAACCCTTCCGTACTTCGTCTTTGGAAAAGGAGGTTTGTTGATAATATTTATCATGTGCACATCTCGGTGATAATCAGTAAATTTTAACTTATTTTGATGCTTAAAGTCAAATACAATGATGACTATTGGTTTGAGTCCTCCAGCCCGGCTTTACGTTCTGACTCAGCGGTTAGGTGAGTCACATAGCAGCCTACAATCCCTTATCTCATTAATTCATCGGCTCTGGTGTTTTCTTCCACTTTTTATTGTCTTCAGGGCTAGCTAAAACTATCCGCGATAAAGGCCAATTTTCAGCCTTGGAGTATATAGGGGTACCGAGTCCACTTCTGAATGAAATACGTGAGTACCTTAAAAATAAGTTACCATGTTTGCAAACTCCTACTTTTAGCTGTTAATTAGAACTACTTATTGATCTCTGAGCAGATCTATACACTTGTTCAAGATTTTAGTGCTGCTCAGATGCAACAAATGTCATATTATGCAAGAGGACCCTTCATGTTTTCATTGATAGTGTTTACTTTCAAAAAGAAGTGCAGTAAAATAAACTCGAATAGTCAGGCACTGTTGTAAATTAATAAGGAGAGGGCTCAGATATTGTCTTCTCTAAACTGAAACGCATCCCAATATCGTCATTTTGCAGATGGTCTCCGGGACTCGAAAAAGACAACAATAAAATGTCCAATTATGCATAACAAGTGGTTTAAGAAGCATTCTTGGCACATTATTAAACGATTGTCGAGTACGAAGGTAAAGTGTGCCTACAAAGCAGAAAGAATGAAACCGATAGACCCTCTAGTTGCTAAACTTTTTCCCCACCGCCCCGATGTACGGGAATTGGCTGTTATTGGAAATATAATATAATATATATAATATAATGCAGTACTTTAATTGGTATTCTTTAACAGATTAGAGGTTTTTACAGGGCCATGATTTAAACCACTTTTATGCTAGTCTGCAGTCACTCGGGGAAAATGCCAATCGAATGACCCCCAAAGAATATAGTTATAATCAGTCGTTGGGGTTTTTATTACCCTAAGTGCGTCAAATAAAGCGTCACATTTACAAGTCTGGTTCTACAAATATGCAACTTGTGTGGTTTACTACTTTATGACAGCCATCTAAATGAAAGCATGAAGAGGAAAACAATGTTTGAGCTTGAATGGGTTGTTTGCCTCTTAGGTGGCATAGATCCACAAGCACCTTTATTTTTTCGCATTCTCAATTCCACTAAGCCATAGCAATTCTTGTCATGTCAAAGCAAAATAATACCTTACATGTATTTATCGAGTTACTTCTAAGGTCCTCGTAACAAATGTATCAAAGGCACGCCTAAGCTTAGATTTTGAAATTTATTAAAAATATGCATGGAGGTACTCGAAAGCGATAATGAATAAGTTCTAAGCTTCATTTAATCCCATACGTATTAAATAGATTGGGTAGAGATAAACCTTCTTTTCCTCCATCTTCTTGACTTGGACAAAATGTAAGGAATCAAATCATTTTCTTGTTGCACTTTCTAACTACCTATCGTCTTCTGATTAAAAGACTACAGGAAAAACTACAAAACCACTCAGTGAAGTCTGTGCTTACGAAGGTGATAGGAAGTGTAAAAGCGACATCTTCAGCAGGTGACACGATTACCGAACGTTCCGTTACTCCACGTGAGTCAAAGTACCAGTCAGTAGACGAGGAGTTTGGTGGACCATCTCTACTCTTTAATGAGGTCTTGATCCCTCGTTTGGTGAAAGACGGGACAAACTCTTACAAAATCATCTCCAATCCGCAGTTCACGCTTTGCTTCAGGGTACGTAAATGAATTTCTAGCATAATTCTTCCAAGTGTTTATGATGTTTACTATGCTGCTCGCTTATTGCTAGTTTAGGCTAAACTAAGCCCTACTCCATGCGAATCTCGCAAACTGAAGATTTGCAGTCATGCTCAGTGCCTGAATTTAAACTGATATATATGTTCTAAAAATTTTTAAAGAAAAGTGCAAATATCCTTCATGGTTGCTTAAGGTGTCATATAATCTGACATCATTTGTAAAGCTTTTTTGTACTTAAACTGAAGAGTGTTGTGACATTAGGGCGGTTTTGTAATTCAGAGTCACTATAGAAGATGAAACGGACTGGTCATTTAACTTATGCTATATCCAGAACTAAACAAAGTTTTGTGTCACTTTCTTGAGTAGATGATATCCTGTCCACTGTTTCTCTGTAGACCTCAAACGCGAATCCAAGCCACCAGAAAATCCTATTCATAAATAATAGAACAGAAGTTCTCGTCTATCAGTGGAAGGATCCTCCATTTGCCTTAACTGATGATAAATCTAGAAAGTCGAAAGAAATGCACTTATGGAAATGTTGCCTCAGCGAGACTCGCCTTTCTTCTTTTTCACTAGCAATGGTAATGGCACTCAAGTCAAAAATCTACATTTACGATTAATATATGTTCTGACCTTCAACAATATTTCAAACAAGCATCAGTGGAATGTCGTCCTTAATCTGACTTCTCCTCTAACATATATTTGCTCAAAATTATTTGCGTTTAAATATTAGAATCTCATGCGCATGCATTTAGACCTACCAAATAAGATTCGTACAGTTTTCGTCATAATTGCAATTACGTTTTTAGCCTCTAGGGAAGTGTAATTTGCACGCCGTTGTTTATGTATATTATGGCATAAAGACGTAAGTGTACCAGTCTTTTAGTGTGCTTTCTAGTACGATCTACGCTACTTTG